TCTCTCTCTCTCTCTCTCTCTCTCTCTCTCTCTCTCTCTCTCTCTCTCTCTCTCTCTCTCTCTCTCTCTCTCTCTCGTGGCTGTGCGACACTTTCGAGGGCATATTCACACTAGGACCTTTTCGATTCAGCTCAGGATGCAAATTGGGGTCAGCTACGTGCGTGTTGGGCCATAATTATTGTCAGATACATCCAAAAGAGTCCCCACAACACATCCAAGTGACCAGCAATACGCCCTCTCAAGCAACCAACTAATCAATCCATCAATCAATCGATCAAACTACGGGTGGGGTCGATGGGAGAGGGAGGCACAGAGAGATGGAGGAGATCGACATAAAAAATAATAATAATATATAAAAAAAGTAGAGACATCGAGTCAGAGCCGAAAATGTTATCAACCACCGACAAACATACACTATGGGCGTCGATGCACTACTCTCGAAATGTGCAAAATGAAAATGAATTTTCTGCTAGAACTTGAATAGATACAGAACCATCCTTTTTGTCTTTTGTGTATGTGGGGAGAGTAGTGCAGCGACGCCCTATGTATCGTCATAGACAACTGCCCGGAGAACCGTGTACATGTATATAGATGTATATATATATGTATACATATCTAGATGTACATATATATATATATATATATGTAGATGTATTAATTTATTCATATATACATTGTAATACATGTATATACATATTTATCGTCAAACAGAACTGCCCGGTAAACCGTAGGCAGAGAGGGAGAAGAGGACAACAAACGAAGTCGCGCCTTCGCCCCCGCTCGCCCGCGGGATTGCCATATGTCTGCGAGAGAGAGAGAGAGAGAGAGAGAGAGAGAGAGAGAGAGAGAGAGAGAGAGAGAGATTGTTTCGTCTTTGAGGGTGTGTGCTTGTCTGTCTGCGTGTCAGTGTCGCTGTGTCCATGTCTATGACATAAGTCACAAACAGAAAAACAGACAGACAGAGCCCTGTAAGAATGGAGACCGTACTGCCATTGTCTTACTGATCCCGACTCTCACGGGACAGTGCCTACGTGTTGTAGTCAAACGAAGAGGGTAGTCATGATACGTCGAGGAGGAGGAGGGGGAGGAGGAGGAGGAGGAGGAGGAGGAGGAGAGGGAGGAAGACTAGAAGGTAAGTGTATACAAATGCTGCGGCCCGGGGAACCTTCAGGTACGATGACTGTTGTTTTGTCACGGTGCTGTGAAATTATAGCATATTCACTCTTTAGTGCCTACACATTGCTCATATATATTTGACTGTAGTTACGACGGGTACAGGATGGACATATCTGACCACAAGGGCGTTTAAAACCATCAGTCAGAAAGTCTTAGTTCGAGTACGCCTCGAGTCCTCTCCTGTGCACTGAGGCTGTCATGCGTGCCCCAAGAAGGTCACGCGATTCGTCCGCGGGAGGGCCGCGTCATTCTCTCTCTCTCTCTCTCTCTCTCTCTCTCTCTCTCTCTCTCTCTCTCTCTCTCTCTCTCGTGGTTGTGCGACACTTCCGAGGGCATACTCACACTAGGACCTTTTCGATTCAGCTCAGGATGCAAATTGGGGTCAGGTACGTTCGTGTTAGGCCATAATCATTGTCAGATACATCCAAAAAAGTCCCCACAACACATCAAAGTGACCAGCAATGCACCCTCTCTAGCAACGAACTAATCAACCCATCAATCAATCAATCAATCAATCGATCAAACTACGGGTGGGTTCGATGGGAGAGGGAGGCACAAAGAGATGGAGGAGATCGACATAAAAAATAATAATAATAAAAAAAAGAAGTAGAGACATCGAGTCGGAACCGAAAATGTTATCAACCACCGACGAATATACACTATGGGCGTCGCTGCACTACTCTCGAAATGTGCAAAATGAGAATGAATCTTCCGCTAGAACGTGAATCGATACACAACCATCTTTTTTGTCTTTTGTGCATGTGGGGAGAGTAGTGCAGCGACGCCTTATGTATCGTCATACACAACTGCCCGGAGAACCGTGTATATGTACATATAGATGTATTAATTTATTCATATATACATTCTAATACATGTATATACATATTTATCGTCAAACAGAACTGCTCGGTAAACCGTAGGTAGAGAGGGAGAAGAGGACAACAGACGAAGTCGCGCCTTCGCCCCCGCTCTCCCGCGGGATTGCCAT